TTATTGATCCATGTGACTACTTCCTCAGATACTGATCCATGTGACTACTTCCTCAGATATTGATCTATGTGACTAACTCATGTTTCTGCTGTGTTGACCAGTGATGGGTCACGTTTCTGCTGTGTTGACCAGTGATGGGCCACGTTTCTGCTGTGTTGACCAGTGCTGGGCCACGTTTCTGCTGTGTTGACCAGTGCTGGGTCACGTTTCTGCTGTTGACCAGTGCTGGGTCACGTTTCTGCTGTGTTGACCAGTGCTGGGTCACGTTTCTGCTGTGTTGACCAGTGCTGGGTCACGTTTCTGCTGTGTTGACCAGTGCTGGGTCATGTTTCTGCTTCTTTCTTTGATATAACCATTACTTCCATTTTCTTAAGGCAAATTGTTTATATTGTATCCTCCAACTCTTATTTCTGCTTTCTCTTTATATTTCCCTCAAAATTACCACTGAAGAGAGAGAAAAGATCTGGGGATAACACACATACCTGTCTTACTCCTTGTTTTATCTTTTCAAAAGTACACAATCTGTTTCCCACTTTAATTGCTGCTACTTGGTTACAGTATATGTTTTTAATTATTCTGAGATCTTTCCAGTCTACATTGATGTACTTCCAACGTTTTTATCATCTCCTTCTGAAATCTTTCCAGTCTACATTGATGTACTTCCAACGTTTTTATCATCTCCTTCTGAGATCTTTCCAGTCTACATTGATGTACTTCCAACGTTTTTATCATCTCCCAGTGTTGAACTTTATCAACATAAATAAATAAACTTTGTCAAATGCTTAGGTATCATCTATAAAGCACAAACAATAAGATCTTTTGTATGTCCATTGATCTTTCTATCAGTGTTCATTATATGTATATTGCATCACTTGTCCCTTTACCTTCCATAAATCCATACTGCTCTTCACTCATTTCCAAAAATATTTTTTTTTCTTGTTCTTCTCACTAAAATTCTAAGTAGTCATTTGGTGACATGATTTATTAACTTGACTTTACAAAGAGTTAATATAAAAAAATTTACCGCAAAGAGGCGGGTGTCGTGTAGATGTGTTAGGTACATGCTCACATATGATCATTTTACCTGGCAAAACATACTCACAGATGTGATCATTCTACATTCCAAGATATGCCCACACATACAACCATTCTACCTGGCATGCTCACAAATGATCATTTTACCTGGCAAGACATGCTCACATATCATTTTACCTGACAAGATATGCCCACACATACAATCATTTTACCTGGCAAGATATGCCCACACACACAATCATTTTACCTGGCAAGACATGCTCACACACACAATCATTTTACCTAGCAAGACATGCTCACACACACAATCATTTTACCTAGCAAGACATGCTCACACACACAATCATTTTACCTAGCAAGACATGCTCACACACACAATCATTTTACCTAGCAAGACATGCTTACACACACAATCATTTTACCTGGCAAGACATGCTTACACACACAATCATTTTACCTAGCAAGACATGCTCACACACACAATCATTTTACCTAGCAAGACATGCTTACACACACAATCATTCTACTTGGCAAGACATGCTTACACACACACAATCATTCTACCTGGCAAGACATGCTCACACACAATTATTTTACCTAGCAACACATGCTCACACACATAATCATTTTACCCAGCAAGACATGCTCACACACAATCATATTACCCAGCAAGACATGCTCACACACACAATCATTTTACCTAGCAAGACATGCTCATACACAATCATTTTACCCAGCAAGACATGCTCACACACACAATCATTTTACCCAGCAAGACATGCTCACACACAATCATTTTACCCAGCAAGACATGCTCACACACAATCATTTTACCCAGCAAGACATGCTCACACACACAATCATTTTACCCAGCAAGACATGCTCACACACAATCATTTTACCCAGCAAGACATGCTCACACACAATCATTTTACCCAGCAAGACATGCTCACACACAATCATTTTACCCAGCAAGACATGCTCACACACACAATAATGTTAATATAAGACATGTTCACCCATTCCACACGGCAAGATATGCCCACACATACAATCATTCCACCAGTGTCAATTTTCATGTGACACACACACACACACACAACCATCCATAGAAATCTTAGACTAGCTTCAAATCATCATCATGTAGCAGGTCCTGTGCAGAACGTCGCTCTTATCACAGTCTGCCTGAAAGAAACTCGGTCTCTCACCAGTTCTCCTGCCTCATGTACTTTCACACTCAAGGAGTCACTTATATCCTGTGCCCATCTTCGTGTCGGTCGGCCTCTGCCCCTCCTTCCTGGTACCATGCCTTCTGCTAGTTTTTTCCAATCCACTGTGGCGCTTAATATGACCAAAATATTTCAGCTTCCGAGAAAGGATGCTGTTTATTAGCCAATCTTCCTTGATGTTCAGATCTTTTAAGATAGCTTCGAATACGTTTGATAAAAATATATCTCTCATTGATACTTCATATAGCATTTTACTAACTCTACTATAACATACTGACATATGTTTAACTGACTCCATCTATACTTTATATAGCATTTTACTAACTCCAATATAACATACTGACATAATTTCACTGACTCCACCAATATTTTATATAGCATTTTACTAACTCAACTATAACATTCTCACTGACTCCATCTATTCTTTATACAGCATTTTACTAACTCCACTATAACATACTGTCAAAAAAACTATACAACTCCCATGTTGTGTGGTGGTATTAGACGTGTAAGTGATGTACTGTAAGATTATAGCTGGTCAGTGATGTACTGTCTGTGTATAATATTGGAGTTGGTCAGTGATGTACTGTATGTAAGACTGGAGCTGGTCAGTGATGTACTGTATGTAAGATTAGAGCTAACCAGTAATAAACTGTATGTAAGATTGGAGCTGGCCAGTGATGTACTGTATGTATGACCGGAGCTGGTCAGTGATGTACTGTATGTAAGACCGGAGCTGGTCAGTGATGTACTGTATGTAAGACCGGAGCTGGTCAGTGATGTACTGTATGTAAGACTGGAGCTGGTCAGTGATGTACTGTATGTAAGACTGGAGCTGGTCAGTGATGTACGTATGTAAGACTGGAGCTGGTCAGTGATGAACTGTATGTAAGACTGGAGCTGGTCAGTGATGTACGTATGTAAGACTGGAGCTGGGCAGTGATGTACTGTAAGTAAGACTGGAGCTGGTCAGTGATGTACGTATGTAAGACTGGAGCTGGTCCGTGATGTACTGTATGTAAGACTGGAGCTGGTCAGTGATGTACTGTATGTAAGACTGGAGCTGGTCAGTGATGTAATTACATAAGACCAGAGCTGGGCAGTGAGGTACTGTATGTATGACTGGAGCTGGTCAGTGAGGTAGTGTATGTATGACTGGAGATATTCAGTGATGTACAATGCATGTTTTAATCAAAAATTAAAACAAATAATATGGAACATTTAAACAAGCTTGTATGCTATATTTACATTTGTTTTTTGTTTCAATGCCCCACACATCTGAATATAACAACCTCAGCAGCTGATAGAACACAATAAAAAAAACACAGCCATTAATCATTAATAGCTCCTGGTGACTGGTCTCACACAGCCATTAATTACTAATAGCTCCTGGTGACTGGTCTCACACAGCCATTAATTACTAATAGCTCCTGGTGACTGGTCTCACACAACCATTAATTACTACTAGCCCCTGGTGACTGGTCTCACACAGGCATCAGTCACCACTAGCTCCTGGTGACTGGTCTCACACAGGCATCAGTCACCACTAGCTCCTGGTGACTGGTCTCACACAGAGCCATCAGTCACCACTAGCTCCTGGTGATTGGTCTCCAGTACACATGTATCAGCCCGCTCTAGAAGGAAACTGTGAGAAAACAACTTTAATCACATCATCCTTCACTCACACAACATACATCTGATGGACAAGTGTGAGAAATCAACTTTAATCACATCATACCTCACACAACATACATCTGATGGACAAGTGTGAGAAGACAACTTTAATCACATCATCCTTCACTCACACAACATACATCTGATGGACAAGTGTGGGAAAACAACTTTAATCACATCATCCTTCACTCACACAACATACGTCTGATGGACAAGTGTGGGAAAACAACTTTAATCACATCATCCTTCACTCACACAACATACATCTGATGGACAAGTGTGGGAAAATAACTTCAATCACATCATCCTTCACTCAAACAACATACATCTGATGGACAAGTGTGGGAAAACAACTTCAATCACATCATCCTTCACTCACACAACATAAATCTGATGGAGAACTTTAGAAATGATTTAATCACAACATCCTTCATTCACACAACAAATATTGTATGGACAAGTGTGAGAAAATGACTTCACATCATCCTTCACTCACACAACATACATCTGATGGACAAGTGTGGGAAAACAACTTCAATCACAGCATCCTTCACTCACACAACATACATCGATGGAGAACTGTAGAAATGATTTAATCACAACATCCTTCATTCACACAACAAATATTTTAAGGGCAAGTGTGAGAAAATGACTTTAATCACATCATCCTTCACTCAAACAAAATACATCTGATGGAGAAGTGTGAGAAAATGACATTATTCACATCTTTCATTCACACACAGCTATTAGGCAAGCAGAAGAAAACAGCTTTAATCACAACATCCTTCATTCACACACAGCAAGTAGGCAAGCGAAAGAAAACAACTTTAATCACAACATTCTTGATTCACACAACACACACAGCAAGTACACAACTTGGAGAGAACTGAGCTTTGATTAAAACATCTGTGTAAACAAGTGTCAAACTGATCACTTTCAAACTCTATCTGTGCTGAGTGGCTGACCACAGAGGTCAGTCAATATTGCATGCTGCACACTGACCAACACAAGGCAACATTTGACCAGCAAGCCCTCAATAAATGTTCTCAACTAGACAACAGCTCATCCGATGATCATGCCGATGCCGAAACGATACTGGTTCTTGACATGGTTGGCATAGCCGCTGAGGGCCAGCGTGAAGGGAAAGGGTGCCAGTTTTTTCTCCAGGACGGCTCCAATACACCAATTACTGTCCAGCTGACCTGTGACCAAACAAGCAGTTATATCATCACGCAGCAGGACAGACATGTGCACATACAAATGATCTTCAGGCTAATCAACTCACCAGCTATCTTTTCATTATACATAAATAAATATTCACATACAAACATAGATATACACATACACACATGCATGCACAAACAGACATACACACACACACATATGCATGCACAAACAGACAGATATAAATGTCACTGTCTGCTAATAAAGCTGGTAGTGGAGAGACAGGGAGGAGAGGATCAGATAGATACATGGCAGATTGTACGTTGAAAGCAGTGACAGCTGGGCACAATCAATTTGATCACAATCAAATGACAAGAGTTGGATTGCAGAGCCATGAAAGTCCTGTCTGCTTGAAACCAAGTATTGGAGAAAGGGGACAAATGAATAGACAGACTTTATTTTTAAAGGGTTGCAAATTGGGCAAGCATGCCTCTCTTACATTCGGCCCTTCCAAACCTAATTCTTTCACAGAAAATTGTATTTGATCAGTAACTCATGTTATGTTGATAAAACAATATGCATAATATGAATGTCAAGGAAAGAAAACATTTTGGATGGTAAATGTATGCGCATATGCACACACACCCACTCCCTCTCCCAACCATACATACACACACACCCATGCCCTCTCCCAACCATACATACACACACACACACCCACTCCCCCAACCATACATACACACCCATTTATATCGACATATGTACTCTCATACATATAAGAGAGACACAATGAGGGAATGACAAAGACAGGCAAATATAAAGAAGAGAAAAAAGGAGACAAAAAAAGTAGAAAAACAGACAAGGAGAGGAAGGGGAGACATAGGCAAACATAGAAAAAGGAGTCAGAAAAATAGAGAGAGAGATGGAGGAGGATGGCCATGAGATTGAGAGGGGAGGAGGATAGGCATAAGATAGAGAGAGAGGGAGAAGAGGACATCCATAGGTCAGAAAGAGGTAAGGGGGGACATCTATAGGTCAGAGAGTGGGAAGGATGATAGGACATGAGACAGAGAGAGGGAGGAGGATGGCAATGAGACAGAGAGAGGGAGGATGATAGCAATGAGACAGATAGAGGGGAGGAGGATGGTCATGAGACAGACAGAGGGGAGGAGGATGGTCATGAGACAGAGGGGAGGAGGATGGTCATGAGACAGACAGAGGGGAGGAGGATGGTCATGAGACAGACAGAGGGGAGGGGGATGGTCATGAGACAGCGAGGGGGAAAGGGGGACAGCCATGAGACAGCGAGGGGGGAAGGGGGACAGCCATGAGACTGCGAGGGGGGAAGGGGGACAGCCATGAGACTGCGAGGGGGGAAGGGGGACAGCCATGAGACTGCGAGGGGGGAAGGGGGACAGCCATGAGACTGCGAGGGGGGAAGGGGGACAGCCATGAGACTGTGAGAGGGAAAGGGGGACAGCCATGAGACAGTGAGGGGGAAGGGGGACAGCCATGAGACTGAGAGGGAAAGGGGGACAGCCATGAGACAGTGAGGGGGAAGGGGGACAGCCATGAGACAGTGAGGGGGGAAGGCGGATAGCCATGAGACAGTGAGGGGGGAAGGCGGATAGCCATGAGACAGTGAGGGGGGAAGGCGGATAGCCATGAGACAGTGAGGGGGGAAGGCGGATAGCCATGAGACAGTGAGGGGGGAAGGCGGATAGCCATGAGACAGTGAGGGGGGAAGGCGGATAGCCATGAGACAGTGAGGGGGGAAGGCGGATAGCCATGAGACAGTGAGGGGGGAAGGCGGATAGCCATGAGACAGTGAGGGGGGAAGGGGGACAGCCATGAGACAGTGAGGGGGGAAGGGGGATAGCCATGAGACAGTGAGGGGGGAAGGCGGATAGCCATGAGACAGTGAGGGGGGAAGGCGGATAGCCATGAGACAGTGAGGGGGGAAGGCGGATAGCCATGAGACAGTGAGGGGGGAAGGGGGATAGCCATGAGACAGTGAGGGGGGAAGGGGGATAGCCATGAGACAGTGAGGGGGGAAGGGGGACAGACATGAGACAGTGAGGGGGGAAGGGGGACAGACATGAGACAGTGAGGGGGGAAGGGGGACAGACATGAGACAGTGAGGGGGGAAGGGGGATAGCCATGAGACTGTGAGGGGGGAAGGGGGATAGCCATGAGACAGTGAGGGGGAAGGGGGATAGCCATGAGACAGTGAGGGGGGAAGGGGGACAGACATGAGACAGCGAGGGGAAAGGGGGACAGCCATTTACAGAGAGAGGAAGGGGACGGGCATAAGACAGAGAAGTAGCCAGACAAAAAGAAGCTGGTAGGCAGGCAATACATGTTTCTGAAACTGCCTTGTTCACAAATCTGTATAACAATAAAACACAGTAAAACAGACAACCACTTGGCGCCCACAGACAAAACCAAACCTCTGAAAGTCACATCTGCCTTGGGAATGTCTATCTGGTAGGCCACAGTTGCTGTGCTCTCTGCCATACGTATGGATGTCTCCAGTTCGACACCCACCTGCAGGTACTCATGTACTCGCTGGTAGAAACAGGTGTGCAGGTTTCCAGCCATGGGACTCAGGTTGGCACTCAACTGCCACTTGTTTCCTGCGGGTACAAACACACACACACAGCTAAGTTTCAGATCCTCCAGCCCAACAAATTCTACATCAACAAATAGCAACAAACAAATTTGAATGAGAGAGCCAACAGATTATCACAGTGCACTCCAATTATAGAGATCCACCGCACAGTGCACTAATTATACAGATTCTCCCGCAGTGCACTTAATTATACAGATCATGCCCAGGTGCATTCATCACAATGCACTCAATTATAGATTCTCACCAGTGCACTCAATTATAGATTCTCACCAGTGCACAAAATTATACAGAGCCTCCTCACAGTGTATTCATTCAATTATTCAAATAGTTATTCCCCATGCACTAAATTATACAGATCCGGCCCCAGTGCACTGAATTATACAGATAATGTTCCTACAGTGCATTTAATTATTTATACAGATCATCACCAGTGCATTTAATTATACAGATTTTCCTCACAGTGCACTGAATTATTTAAACAGATTATAAACACAGAACATAGAACTATTTATATTGCCTTACTCCTGATGTTACTGGGAACCAGAGTAAAGGTGAAAGAACACAGCCTTGCCTTACTCCTGATGTTACTGGGAACAAGAGTAAAGGTGAAAGAACACAGTCTTGCCTTACTCCCGATGTTACTGGGAACCAGAGTATAGGAGAAAGAACACACCCTTGCATTCTCCTGATGTTACTGGGAACCAGAGTATAGGTGAAAGAACACACCCTTGCCTTACTCCTGAAGTTACTGGGAACCATTCTGTGAGGTCAGCTCTTGTTCTGACAGCGCTTTTACCTTTTCTTTAAATAGCTATTACGCAATCTAGCACTTTCCATTTATACCAGTTTTTAAGGAATTCCCATAGTAAATCTCTGTTCCCTCTGTCAAAAGTTTTTTTTTATATATAAAAGCGATGTTTATTTAGTGTCTGTGTTCTATTGTCTTTTTGCTAATTTGCCTTATGGGGAAAATATTGTAAGTACACCCTCTTCTTTTCCTGAATCCGACCTGTGCTGGGCTCAGAATCGGGTCTATAACAGATGTAATTCATTGCTCCAGAATATTAGCAAACATTTTACCTACGTCTCTCTATCTGTTCACCTACTAACTTACAATACTTTTCCATCATATAACATCTGTACTTTCTGCACATCAGCTGACATCCATACTGTCTGCTAGCACCCACCCATCCACCAACTGACAAGTTGTTCATTCTTACCTGTCCATCGACCAGCCAGTGACATGATTGCAATCTCCCCTCCTGGAATCTGCTGTCCTCTCTGGTACATGATCTCTGCCCCCAGAGCAAGACTTGGTGTGATGCGCTGCAGGTAATGACCAACTAACAGCCCTGCAACATGCACAAGAAAGCAACAGACTGTACAACTGTCTCTCTAAAGGTTATATGCCACATCAATAAACCAGTATGCTACCTGATCACTACAGCAGAAACACTGATGATTGCACTGGTATCTCAGATGCACATTTCTCAGTAGAACTTCGTGTTTTGTAATATCCATCCCAGCAGCAAACTGACTTCTACAATTCTATTTCCATTCAAGGAGCCTCTGTTGGTTGGGAAATGATGTATGCTTTTTTTCTGTACACCTTCTGCAGGGATAACATTCCATTCTCTCTACTAAAGATAGAAGCATCAAACAAAAAATCAAACTCAGATACCCTAACCCTAGTAAAAGCCTTTCCTTCAAGGATTATGTGAGGGCAGTTGTGGTGAAATGCCAAAAGGACTCAATGCACTCAAGATGATTGCAGCAAAGGACACTAAACAATGCTGTTCATAATCTTCCAGCAGTGATTCTCTCAGTGATAGATGATATGATTCTCTCAGTGATAGATGATATGATTCTCTCAGTGATAGATGATATGATTCTCTCAGTGATAGATGATATGATTCTCTCAGTGATAGATTATATGATTCTCTCAGTGATAGATGATATGATTCTCTCAGTGATAGATGATATGATTCTCTCAGTGATAGATGATATGATTCTCTCAGTGATAGATGATATGATTCTCTCAGTGATAGATGATATGATTCTCTCAGTGATAGATGATATGATTCTCTCAGTGATAGATGATATGATTCTCTCAGTGATAGATGATATGATTCTCTCAGTGATAGATGATATGATTCTCTCAGTGATAGATGATATGATTCTCTCAGTGATAGATTATATGATTCTCTCAGTGATAGATGATATGATTCTCTCAGTGATAGATGATTTGATTCTCTCAGTGATAGATGATATGATTCTCTCAGTGATAGATTATAAACTTGGAATGCTTACCACATCAAATAGTGAGCTGATGAAACCTGAAGCATACAGAATCAATCCATGATGGTAATTTCGGGATGAAAAAGAGAGACCCCAGTGGTATATATAAATGACACTGCACAGACAATACAAAATAACTGCTACCACACAGACAACACAAAATAACTGATACCGCACAGACAACACAAAATAACTGCTACCGCACAGACAACGCAATATAACTGATACTGCACAGACAACGCAATATAACTGATACCGCACAGACAAAGCAAAATAACTGCTACCGCACAGACAACGCAATATGACTGATACTGCACAGACAACGCAATATAACTGATACTGCACAGACAATACAATATAACTGATACTGCACAGACAACACCTTATAACTGATACTGCACAGACAACACCTTATAACTGATGCACAGACAATACAATATAACTGATACCGCACAGACAACACAATATAACTGATACCGCACAGACAACACAATATAACTGCTACCACGCAGACAACACAATATAACTGATACCGCACAGACAACACAATATAACTGCTACCACGCAGACAACACAATATAACTGATACCGCACAGACAACACAATATAACTGCTACCACGCAGACAACACAATATAACTGATACCGCACAGACAACACAATATAACTGCTACCACGCAGACAACACAATATAACTGATACCGCACAGACAACACAATATAACTGCTACCACGCAGACAACACAATATAACTGATACCGCACAGACAACACAATATAACTGCTACCACGCAGACAACACAATATAACTGATACTGCACAGACAATACAATATAACTGATACCGCACAGACAACACAATATAACTGATACCGCACAGACAACACAATATAACTGCTACCACGCAGACAACACAATATAACTGATACCGCACAGACAACACAATATAACTGCTACCACGCAGACAACACAATATAACTGATACCGCACAGACAACACAATATAACTGCTACCACGCAGACAACACAACTGATACCGCACAGACAACACAATATAACTGCTACCACGCAGACAACACAATATAACTGATACCGCACAGACAACACAATATAACTGCTACCACGCAGACAACACAATATAACTGATACCGCACAGACAACACAATATAACTGCTACCACGCAGACAACACAATATAACTGATACTGCACAGACAATACAATATAACTGATACTGCACAGACAATACAATATAACTGTATTGTACACACAGACAATACAATATAACTGATACTGCACAGACAATACAATATAACTGTATTGTACACACAGACAATACAATATAACTGATACTGCACAGACAATACAATATAACTGTATTGTACACACAGACAATACAATATAACTGATACCACACAGACAACACAATATAACTGATACCACACAGACAACACAATATAACTGATACCGCAGACAACACAATATAATTGCTACCACACAGACAACACAATATAACTGCTACCACGCAGACAACACAATATAACTGATATTGCACAGACAACAATGCAATAAAACTAAAACTACACAAGATATAATATGACATATAAAATGACAATGAACAGAGACCAAGTCAGGATGGTGAACAATCACTCCAATAGCAAAGTCACACTCAAGAGGCCAATGAGACTTACCTGAGAGATAAATAGGGTCAACGTTGCCCACCGTTAACGAAGCTGTGTAGTCGTCTCCTTTGTAATCAAAGGACACCTGATGGCCAACGCATTTGTTGGGCTGGAACTGTGGGCAGACATAATGTGACTTGTATCTCAGGGAACAGACATGATGTGACTTGTATCTCAGGGAACAGACATGATGTGACTAGTATCTCAGGGAACAGACATGATGTGACTTGTATCTCAGGGAACAGACATGATGTGACTTGTATCTCAGGGAACAGACATGATGTGACTTGTATCTCAGGCAGGGTTCATAGCCAAATTTATCAATCAATTTCAAGGCTTTTCAAGGTCTTTTTCAAGGTCTCCTTAGTTTTTTTCAAGGTTGTCTCGGTGTAATACTGAAACAAGATTTTTGCCTTGTTCAAGGGTGTACTGAGCACACAAGGTACTTCATTTGTGCCACATGTGTTGGTATACCAGCACAGATATCATCATCATGTAGCATTTCCTTTGTCCTGACAAAAAAACCTCGGTCTCTCACCAGCTCTCCCGCCTCATGTACTTTTTATACTCAAGGAGTCACTTTTATCCTGTGCCCATCTTCGTGCTGGTCGGCCCCTGAGCTTGATATAGTGTTTGAAATTATTTTTAGGGCTTGGTGGTAGAGGGCAGCAAACTGAAGTCCTGTCTGTTCTGGACCTGGTACCTGAGAGGGTTAGGGGAGAGAGAGAAAGTCATGAAGAGAGAGGAAGACACACGCTGAGGTAGGCTGGGAGAGACAGTGTAAAGATGGACAGATGAAGGTAGAGAAAAGAAGGAAAAGAAGTCTGGGGAAGGAGGAAAAAATGAGAGGGAGGGATGGAGACATGATGAGGAAAAGTGGGGAAGGAACAGCGAAAGACAGAGAGGGAAAAAAATACAGAAAGAGGGAATGCAGATACAGAGATGGGCAGATGAAAAGAGAAGGAAAATGGGAACGAAATAGAGATATGGAAGAAGGAAATTATGACAAAGAGTTGAAAGAAGGGAGACAGAGGGAGAGAGAACGGACAGGGTGAGAAGCAGATGCAAGCAGAGAGAGATGTAGACATAAAGGAGAGAGAGAGAGACAAAGGGACAGCACAGAGAGGCAAACAGACAGAGGGAGAGAACCAAAGAAAGAGAAAAAAGGCAGAGCAGGAGAATGGGAGGGAGGTATACAAAGAGGAAGTGATGAAGGGAGGCAAACAGACATAAAGCAAGAGAGAGAGAGAGAGGTGGGTAAGGAAGGCAGTGACAAACACAGATTAAGAGAGAGGGGCAGGGAAGGGAGACAAGATACATCAAAGAAAAAAAAAAACAGCCACCTACTCCCCCCCCCCCCCCCCCCCCACACACACAATTTCAAGTGTAGTGGACACAACCACTAGGAAAAGATAGTTATGGGCAAAAAAAATACGTAGATGAACCAGTTAAAAAAAAAAATTATGGGGGGGGGGGGGAGAGAATGAGAGAGGGGAGCGGGCAAGGAAATCTAGAGAAAATGAAAAGACAGGATGGAGAGGAGACAAAGAAGAGATGGGACAGGAGAGAGGGGGCAAGGAAAGAAAGAGAGGAAGAATGGAGAGAGAAAGGAGAATAGTAGAAGATCAAAGGAAAGAGAAGGGGTGAGAGAAAGGTAAGACACGGTTGTGGGGTGGGAGTGTAAGAACAATGAGTGCCAAAAATAGAATTAGGAAATCTCTAAGTGAGGCCACTTTTCCGGTTCCTACCCTCTCCCAATGTGAATGTGGTCCAAAAACAACAGTGCTAACCCCTACTGCCCCTTGCTTGTCCTATCTGTGTGTGACAACAATAATTCAATTTCTTACACTTAAGGCTGGTGACCTGAGAGCCAAGGTCATTTTATGAAGAAAATAAAAGTCCAGGGGATCCCAACCCACCACTGGTGGAAAATAGAGAAGTTTACCCACACACATAAATAGGTCAGACACATAAATAGGTCAGACACATAAATAGGTCAGGGCAGCAGTGGACTTCGTTTTATTTCTGGTTTTCCAATTACAGAAAGGAGGGGAGAGAGGAGGTGGTGGAAAGTGGTGTAGAAGGCTGAGGTGGTAAGGGTGAGACAGAGGAGGTGAGAGAATAAAGTTTAAGAAAATAAAGTGGGAATGAGACAGGGAGAGAAAGAAGGGAGTAAGAAATAAGATGAGATATAGAGGGAAGAAGGTAGCAGGAAGGGGTGCACTCCCTCCCCTAGGTGTCATCAATGTGGGAGGAGAAAAGGGGGGGGGGGTGACCGGCAAATGTGTTTTTAAAAGTACACATATATTTAATGTGTGGGAGGGGGAATGGTGGACATGAAATGTTCTGCACTAGGCAACACATAACCTTCTACACCAACTGAAGGTATGGAGAAAGAAAGAGAGAGAGAGAGAGAGAGAGAGAGAGGGAGGGAGTGAGGGAGAGTGAAAGAAGAAAGCAGTGACACAGACAGGCAGAGAGTGAGGAACAGGTAGGACAAAATGTGAGGGGGCGGGAAGGGAGATGGACAGAGATTAAGGCCGCTAGGAAAACAAACACATCAAAAGAAAATATCCACCATGTTCACACAGAATTCCCCCCCCCCCCCCCAATACAACTTCCTGTGTACTTGAGTTGCTAGGAAGAGTTATGGAGCCGCACATTTACTAAACATTTAAACAAGAAATAAAATAGGAAAAAGGGGGAGGGGGGACAGTAAATGAGAGAGTAAAAGGAAAGATAGAGAGAAAGAGAAGAAGATGAAGATCAGAAGGGAGGGTTAGAGACAATGCAGGAGACGGGAAGGAAGGAGCAATAGGTAGAAGAGTGAAAGAGGGAGGGAAGAGAGAGAGAGGGGTGAGACAACAGAAGAGGGAATCTCGGGGAATTACAATACTGATCGCCAAACACACTGTAAAGATAAATCCAGGCCAAAAATAGAACTGGGAAATCCAGCTGCAGTCACTTTGCTTAGCCCCAATGCCATCTCTAATTAATAGAGAAGGCCGTGCTTAGCCCCACCACGGCGACTCTATTTATAAATACAACTGAACCGAGCCCCACCATCTCCCAATGTAATCCTTTCTAGAAACCACGGCCATAAACTATTTAAACTGTTCATTCTGCCCGACTTGCTAGAAACAAAGGCACACACACACACGCGAGACGGAAGCTGCTCCTTCCCGCCCCATGCCACACTGCTGCTGTCTGCATGTATTTATGATCTGTAACAAAGCCCGCCCTCCCCTGGCCTTTAACAAGCCATTTCGGCTGAAAATAGCCAATAATCAGCTGCCCTCACACCTGAAACGACCATACAATGAAAGTAGCCAAAAACTAGCCAAATGGCCAAAAAAGCCAAATGGCTCCCCCAAAATTGCCTGTGCTTGAAAAACACAGGATTTCTGACGATTTCATTGCCGCGGTCAAAATTCACGGCTTTTTAAGGTCGGAATGTCTTTTATAAGCTAAAAATCCCGGTTTAAGGTCAACGAAAAAAATCCCGGTAATTTCCCGATTTCCCGGTCCACTACGAACCCTGCTCAGGAAACAGACATGATGTGACTTGTATCTCAGGTAACAGACATGATGTGACTTGTATCTCAGGGAACAGACATGATGTGACTTGTATCTCAGGTAACAGACATGATGTGACTTGTATCTCAGGGAACAGACATGATGTGACTTGTAACTCAGGAAACAGACATGATGTGACTTGTAACTCAGGAAACAGACATGATGTGACTTGTATCTCAGGGAACAGACATGATGAGGGCTAATGTAGAAAAAAAACATGGAAAACCTAGGGCAGCCAAGTAGAGAGGCAACAATGTCAGGAGGAGAGAACATGGAGGAGCTAGGACAGCCCAGTAGAGAGGCAACACTGTCAGCAGGAAAGAACATGGAGGAGCTAGGACAGCCCAGTAGAGAGGCAACACTGTCAGCAGGAAAGAACATGAAGGAGCTAGGACAGCCCAGTAAAGAGGCAACACTGTCAGCAGGAAAGAACATGGAGGAGCTAGGACAGCCCAGTAGAGAGGCAACACTGTCAGCAGGAAAGAACATGGAGGAGCTAGGACAGCCCAGTAGAGAGGCAACACTGTCAGCAGGAAAGAACATGGAGGAGCTAGGACAGCCCAGTGAAGAGGCAACACTGTCAGCAGGAAAGAACATGGAGGAGCTAGGACAGCCCAGTAGAGAGGCAACACTGTCAGCAGGAAAGAACATGGAGGAGCTAGGACGGCCCAGTGGAGAGAACATATTTCAGTTAAGGAGTAGATCAGTGACAAAACAAAAGAAATTAACTGAACTAGTCTGTCTCCAGCCCCTAACTAGCATCAGCTAGCCACACAGAATGATATACCAGTCATATGCTAACATCAAGTAGCCACACATATTGATATACTAGCCACTAACTAACCAGAACAGCATTACCAGCCACACATGATACACCAGCCACTAGCTAATAAGGCAGCACTACCAGCCACACATGATACACCAATTACTAGCTAATAAGACAGCACTACCAGCCACACATGATACACCAGCCACTAGCTAATAAGACAACACTACCAGCCACACATGATACACCAACCACTAGCTAACAAGACAGCACTACCAGCCACACATGATACACCAACCACTAGCTAACAAGACAACATTACCAGCCACACATGATACACCAGCCACTAGCTAACAAGACAGCACTACCAGCCACACATGATACACCAACCACTAGCTAACAAGACAGCACTACCAGCCACACATGATACACCAACCACTAGCTAATAAGACAACACTACCAGCCACACATGATACACCAACCACTAGCTAACAAGACAGCACTACCAGCCACACATGATACACCAACCACTAGCTAACAAGACAACACTACCAGCCACACATGATACACCAACCACTAGCTAACAAGACAACACTACCAGCCACACATGATACACCAACCACTAGCTAACAAGACAACACTACCAGCCACACATGATACACCAGCCACTAGCTAACAAGACAGCACTACCAGCCACACATGATACACCAGTCACTAGCTAATAAGACAACACTACCAGCCACACATGATAAACCAGCCACTAGCTAACAAGACAGCACTACCAGCCACACATGATACACCAACCACTAGCTAACAAGACAACACTACCAGCCACACATGATACACCAACCACTAGCTAACAAGACAACACTACCAGCCACACATGATACACCAACCACTAGCTAACAAGACAGCACTACCAGCCACACATGATACACCAGTCACTAGCTAATAAGACAGCACTACCAGCCACTAGCTAATAAGATAGCAGCACTACCAGCCACACATGATGCACCAGCCACTAGCTAACAAGATAGCATCACTACTAGACACACATGATTCACCAGTCACTAGCTAATAAGACAACACTACCAGCCACACATGATACACCAACCACTAGCTAACAAGACAGCACTACCAGCCACACATGATACACCAGTCACTAGCTAACAAGACAACACTACCAGCCACACATGATAAACCAGCCACTAGCTAATAAGACAACACTACCAGCCACACATGATGCACCAGCCACTAGCTAACAAGATAGCATCACTACTAGACACACATGATACACCAGTCACTAGCTAATAAGACAACACTACCAGCCACACATGATACACCAACCACTAGCTAACAAGACAGCACTACCAGCCACACATGATACACCAGTCACTAGCTAATAAGACAACACTACCAGCCACACATGATACACCAACCACTAGCTAACAAGACAGCACTACCAGCCACACATGATACACCAGTCACTAGCTAATAAGACAACACTACCAGCCACACATGATACACCAACCACTAGCTAACAAGACAGCACTACCAGCCACACATGATACACCAGTCACTAGCTAATAAGACAACACTACCAGCCACACATGATACACCAACCACTAGCTAACAAGACAGCACTACCAGCCACACATGATACACCAGTCACTAGCTAATAAGACAACACTACCAGCCACACATGATACACCAACCACTAGCTAACAAGACAGCACTACCAGCCACACATGATACACCAGTCACTAGCTAATAAGACAGCACTACCAGCCACTAGCTAACAAGATAGCAGCACTTCTAGCTCAACATGATAAACCAGCCACTAGCTAACAAGACAGCAGCACTACCAGCCAGGGATGGTGGAAGTAGAGAGGTACCTGAGCCACAAGTTTTCCCCGGAGTCTGTCAGTGAGTGCATGGATGATGTTTGCGTTCATGTTGCCACTGGAGTCCATGTCTCCCAACAGCACTGGGAATGCCTGCATGGGGAAAAAGCAGCAGCAAAAACATTAACACTGACTCTAATTATCAAATATTTTCAGGTGTGCATCTTTTCATTTCAGTGTACATTTCATTTCAGATGTGCATCATTTCATTTCAGTGTACATTTAATTTCAGATGTGCATCATTTTAATTCATGTGTACATTATTTCATTTCAGATGAGAGACATTTCATACAGGAAACAAACAGGCCAGACGACTGTGATAAGTGCTAGAGCAATGATCCAGACTGATGTACTGAATGCCCTACGAGAAGCAGCATGTATGCAAGAATCATGCAAGGACTGTAAATCTGCAAACACAATCAGACTGCAAGAACAGCAAGTGAAAATGATGAATGAATGTAAAACACATCTGGTGTCTGTGTGTCCCTCCATGCGATTATATTTGCATTATTGTCCAGCAACAAATGTTTGTGATTATTCCTGCGATACATACAAATATTATTGCTCCACTTGTCAGATGTTGATGGCACTAGGCACTTCCAATGTTTTTCTCACTCTATATCTCCTACCTCACTGTAATTTCTACTAATTTCTACAACTGCATACTGTGCTATAAATGCATATTTCAGCAGGGTGCTATAATACATGTCAGCAGTGTGCTATAATACATGTCAGCAGTGTGCTATAATACATGTCAGCAGGGTGCTATAATACATGTCAGCAGGGTGCTATAATACATGTCAGCGGTGTGCTATAATACATGTCAGCAGGGTGCTATAAATGCATATTTCAGCAGGGTGCTATAATACATGTCAGCAGTGTGCTATAATACATGTCAGCAGGGTGCTATAATACATGTCAGCAGTGTGCTATAATACATGTCAGCAGGGTGCTATAATACATGTCAGCAGGGTGCTATAATACATGTCAGCAGGGTGCTATAATACATGTCAGTAGGGTGCTATAATACATGTCAGCAGGGTGCTATAATACATGTCAGCAGGGTGCTATAATACATGTCAGCAGGGTGCTATAAATGCAGGTGTCAGCAGGGTGCTATAAATGCAGGTTACAGCAGGGTGCTATAATACATGTCAGCAGGGTGCTATAATACATGTCAGCAGGGTGCTATAATACATGTCAGCAGGGTGCTATAATACATGTCAGCAGGGTGCTATAATACATGTCAGCAGGGTGCTATAATACATGTCAGCAGGGTGCTATAATACATGTCAGCGGGGTGCTATAATACATGTCAGCAGGGTGCTATAAATGTATGTGTCAGCAGGGTGCTATAAATGTATGTGTCAGCAGGGTGCTGTATAAATGTATGTGTCAGCAGGGTGCTATAAATGTATGTGTCAGCAGGCTGCTGTATAAATGTATGTGTCAGCAGGCTGCTGTATAAATGTATGTGTCCGCAGGGTGCTATAAATTTTTGTGTCAGCAGGGTGCTATAAATGTATGTGTCAGCAGGGTGCTATAATACATGTCAGCAGGGTGCTATAATACATGTCTGCAGGGTGCTATAATACATGTCTGCAGGGTGCTATAATACATGTCAGCAGGGTGCTATAATACATGTCAGCAGGGTGCTATAATACATGTCAGCAGGGTGCTATAATACATGTCAACAGGGTGCTATAATACATGTCAGCAGAGTGCTATAATACATGTCAGCAGGGTGCTATAATACATGTCAGCAGGGTGCTATAAATGCAGGTTACAGCAGGGTGCTATAATACATGTCAGCAGGGTGCTATAAATGTATGTGTCAGCAGGGTGCTATAAATGTATGTGTCAGCAGGGTGCTATAAATGTATGTGTCAGCAGGGTGCTGTATAAATGTATGTGTCAGCAGGGTGCTATAAATGTATGTGTCAGCAGGGTGCTGTATAAATGTATGTGTCAGCAGGGTGCTATAAATGTATGGGTCAGCAGGGTGCTATAAATGTATGTGTCAGCAGGCTGCTGTATAAATGTATGTGTCCGCAGGGTGCTATAAATTTTTGTGTCAGCAGGGTGCTATAAATGCAGGTTACAGCAGGGTGCTATAAATGTATGTGTCAGCAGAGTGCTATAAATGTATGTGTCAGGATGCATGCAATTTTGTTTATAAAAGACAACTGACCTCTGTAGACGACAGCTGTTTGGTGCCGATGTAAGTGGCCCCAAACCGGTACAGTGATGGCGTGAAGGTACTCAGTGTGATGGTGTGGCTAATCTGGAAATGGCTGCTCAGGCCTTTAGCTACAATGACTTTGGCACCTTCAAACACTTGAGGGAACAGATCTGTAGGATTGACAAGCAATATGGTAACAATCACAAACCACAATGTGGCAAAATTCATATACCACAAGCTGGTACAACAATCACATATCAAAACATAGCAATAATCACAATGCATTCAATAACATTCTAGCTTGATCACTGCAATAAAAAAAAAATCGGTCAGTGTGTGTGAACAATAATGGCTTAGTATACATGTTAATAATTTTCTGGTGATTATCTTTTCTAACAGCTTGCCTGCAGTATTTTTGCATAGTATACAAATTAATAAGCCCTTTCCTTACCACATTAATGCCATTAGGCCAATTTTAAGCCAAGCTATCAAAGCTTTTGTGAAATAAAATTTAAAAAATAAATAAAATTTAGGTGAGTTAAAACTTGCTGGCCAGAAATTAGAAATCTTTGTGGAGTGTTTAAAACTCTTATAACTTATTAAGTATATATTTATGTGTTTGGGGTAACAAGATCTAACATAATAATCATTCAATTTTTAGTTATTACGTAATATCACTAAATATTCAAAATGGACGTCAACTATCATAATCATAACTTAAAAGCATAATTTATATGATATACTTCTGTCTACATAAAATTGTGTGTGTGTCTTCTGCAAAATGATATAACAATCGAAAGACCATATTGTGATGTTGTAGACATAGGAGCTTATTAAATCTGAATTGATAATGGTCAATAATTATTAATTACTAACTATTAAAATCACTTTGTTCTAATAACGTTTAAAACACCAGTCTTTACATTTCATTTCTGGGGAAAAAAAGCTTCAAGTGGTTGAAGACATATTTCAAATGCAAAATTGTGTTTATGTAAACCAAGTTTTCAACTGAGTTTTGTGTGTTAACGAGGTTTTACTGTAGGTGGTATCAACTCTTTTACCGCTTCGACTGTCAAGGTAGAAAGAAGGGTTCTAATAGTTTAATTAATTGTGCAAAATATACATTTGAAAAGTGTACGCAGATAGACTGTGTGGGTGCATGCGAGTTAATAAGGTAAGTAACCATGGTTATAAGGTAACGCTTTTGTGTAATCATTACTAAATTTTACCTGTGATTCACTTACAAGCTGTGTTTTTCCCCCCCCCACAGAGTTAAATTATTAAATAAGTTCCTGTGTGATTCACTTTGAATTTAACTGTTTTCACGGAGCAGCATTTTAAAGCTAAGAGGAATATCTGTTTTTAACTTGTGACTTTATGTCCGATAAGCCGAGTTATGTAAGCATGTAGTTATCTTCAAAGGTTGAAAGATATGCTCTCATGTCAGAGTCAGAGGCTGTTTCTTTTTGACAGCAAAAGAATTTAACATCGAACACTTTTTAGAAATAAGCCTCTAATAACTGTATGTAATGACTGTACTATCCTGTACCACTCCTGCATTCTTCTACTCAATACTTCATTTAATCATTTAGTTTTAATTTTTAATCGTATTTCAACTCTTTAACAGTAACACTAAAAAGAAATATTTACTTAAATTTGTTAGACTAAAAGGATTAATGGCTTCAGAAACTGACAAAAGGATTCATGGCTTCAGAAACTGACAAAAGGATTAATGGCTTCAGAAACTGACAAAAGGATTAATGGCTTCAGAAACTGACAAAAGGATTCATGGCTTCAGAAACTGACAAAAGGAATTAACGGCTTCAGAAACTGACAAAAGGTGTCTAAATACTGAAAACAGAGGAGGACAGTCCAGAATTCAAGCAGGCTACACTCTGGTGTTGTTATAACGACAGTAAATGCACTAGAAAACGGCTGTAATCTGCAACTTTTCTTTCACTTTAAATAGAGTGGTTCACTAAAAAAAATGCAGTATATTTAACTGATTATTTAAAGGTATGAAATTTTCCACTGCGAAGTAAAACCGCTGGAAAACTCAAATATGTAAGCAGAATATTGGTACTTATTGTTGTGTGCTGAATACACCGAGGAGCGGCTGGCCGAATGGTTAGAGCGCTGGGCTCTCAAGCCAGGAGACCCGAGTTTGAATCCTTGGTATGGCTAGGGATTTTTTTTTTGTCAGGGGCAAAATAAAATCCTCACATGCACACAGTCCTGGCAACAGGATTAGGCATGCGGCGGTATATTCTCTGGCTCAAAGACCCTCCTGCCTACACAGCAAAAGTGGTGTAACTGGCAGTTTTTGGCTGAATTCACTTTGCTGTTCAATTGTACCAGAGGTCAGAGGCGTGGTTGCCTACACTAGTCGTAAAGGCGCTAGATGATGAGAAGTGACAGAGTGGAAAAATTCTACGCTACTTGACAAAATTCTACGCTACTTGACACGTGAGACAAAGGTTTCTTGAGATTAACAGCTAACAACCGTCTCCATGAATATTGTGACACCCTTGTGTGACCAGTCGGTAAATGTGAACCCCAAGGGTTGGCGACAATGTGATATATGTGTGCAACCACAGGTAGGAGTTCTTTGGTAGTTTCAAACAGTCAGTTGCTTTCAGTTCATCTTACTGTATGAACGTGTTGTTTGAGTCCAGTGGTTGAATGGGCTGTGTTTTAGCAATGATTGTTTATTCTGTGGAATTCCTGTGAAACATCTGGGATGATTGTGATGTATCATGAGTTGGACTTGTGGGAATTCTGTCAGTAATGTCTAGAATGGACTTGTGTCGGACATGTGTTGTGGGGTCGACAGTGTTGCTGCTGTTATGGGACACTGGGTTGATGGGTTTCTTGTAAGGGTATGGAAGGTGTTGGGGGGACCTTGTGTGTTAACCAACATGTAGTTGTGATGGGGGGAAGTAAGTATGGGAGGCTGATTGACAGAATGATAGTCAGCAATATTTCAATGAGTGGCCGAGATAGTAGGCGGGAGACCTGGAGTTTTCATCAAGAAGTGCATCTATCTTGAGTCCATAGTGACAGGGCCGGTTAGGCAGCACCGTCAGAGGACTGTCACTGCACACAACTCTGCACGGTCCAGTATGAGTTGCACGTAGCAGGCACCTGGGATAAAGTTCGCTGGCGCTGGGGTTTTCTGTCCATGTCTGGAGTGACTGTCTATGTGTATATGGAAGACAGTAGGAGACTTGACTGTAAGTCATCGATCACCAATTCATCTTCGTTATTATAATCTGTCTGTGATTGAGTATTGAGGACAAATGAAGATGCTCGGCATACAACAGTAGATAGAACACCACTACCACACTGTCGTTATGACTGTATACAGTGCCGATCTGCAGACTAACCAGGAAGAACGAACATCAAGGTCGTGGGCAAACACTGCATGTAATTAAGAAGATATGATAATATAATATACCTTTAGTCTGTTTGTGCAGATCCTCGTACAGGCCGGGGTTGACAACTTCAGAGCCGGCAAGGTTTGCAGCAGTTTCCCTAGCTAGGGCTCTACCTGGCCTCTCAGTTGCATGTGGTGGCATTAGAGGCGGTGGCGGTAAATCCACATGGGCTTTAGAATTGTCGGCAGCACTAACATTACCCATTGTAATAAAATTATTTTCTAAAATCACAGAGAACAGATGGCAGGTAGAGACAAATGACCGTTTCCAAGCTGCGATTATTAACCTTCAGCCAGACGCCATGTGCAAGCGAGAACAGAAACAAGCGTGCTGCGCATGTCTACAGCAACGATTTCCGGGTCATCAAGCTATGGTGGGATGGGTGTTCCCCTTGTCTGTTATTTCTCTGTTGCTTCCCCTGTCTCTTAATTCTCTATTTCTTCACTATTTCTTATTTTCTCTTATTTTATAACAAAAGAAAAGAAATCATAAAATCTGGCAGAAAGCCACCAAAACCGGTACAAAACAATTAACTTTTTATGGACAGACCAGTGCGAGTTATTATTCTACGCGCTCATTATTCTAGGGTGCACTGGAGACACCTCTTGTGTAACAATGAGGTACCTTCTTGACTTCCCTACCATGAACTACAGGATCAAGATCTGGAGGGTTCGTGCATACATCAAAATAAGCTCAGATCTGAAGCATCCTTTGCACCACATGCTCTTCAAGAAAAAGAGCAATAGGCTTAAAAGGATCAAATCATGGCTGAGTAGGGCAGAGGATGACATCATACAGGTTTGCAGCCTCACAGACATCCATCCAGGTGAGGAGTGGATACCAGAGTCTAAAGCGCACAATCTCATATTCTCCTGTGTCGTGACGCTAGACAGGAGTTGTCTGGAGCAGAATCCAGCTGCTGTCAATACCGAGGTATGCGCGCTTATCAGTGACAAGTCACATGAGACAAATGTGGTGATCTTCACAGACAGGTCCGCTATACGAGGACATAAAAGTGCATAGGGATTTACAGCTCGCTCTTCAGGCAGAACAGTTAAGGAAGCCCGCGGTGCCTTCTCCATGACCACCAGCAGCATAACGATGGAGGTGATGGCGGTGACACAGGCTTTCATGTGGCTGGGATCACAGGACTATTCCCGCCTGTGTGTGCTGAGTGATTCTTTGACCATGATCAGGCGGGTCGAGGCAGGCTGGTTACGCAGACAGTGGCTTGAGTCATTTCAAAATCCCCTGTGTGTGCAGTTACTTTCATATTTGTCCCAGGGCATGCAGGCGTTGTTGGTAATGAGAGAGCTGGTAGACTAGCAGGTACTGCATTAATTGAAGATGGTCGGCTCATACATCAAGCAGACATTGTCATTGCCCTTAGAAAGATAGGACGTTCTGAGGATTTGGGAAGCAACGTGTCCACATCACTTCTAAGAATACGTGAATTGGGAGAAAAGATCGGCACAGCCAAGCATGAGAAGCACACTGGACGCACACAAAGTCTTATTAACCAACATAAGACTGGTACTATCAACCGCACGACGCTGATGAATATGTTGAGAGGGAAATTTGAGCGCCTATGGGTGTGTCCGGAGTGCTGTGAAGATAATCTAACTCAAAACTCATTAATCTATGCCTTAGAACAGGACACAATTGACTTCGCAGCCACATGTACATCTTCTTCTTCAGTGAAGTGTCGAGGGAAGATGTAATATTCGTTGGTGAGCTCTGTCAAGAGCACTATTAAGACTGATGTTCATTTCTGTAAGGTTGTTCTTAATGCCATCACTCCATTTTTCAGAGGACTTCTGCTCGCTCTTTACCCGTTGTAGGTGTGGCTCGCTGTGGCAGATAGTACCAGGGCATTCTTGTTAGGTGTCCAAACCACTGCGTTTGTCATTCTTCGATGGCTTGTAAGACTGGCTCTATTCCTAGCATTTGTCTGATTTCGTATTCTGTCTTTCCATGTTTGGTACTGGTAGCATAGTGTTAACCACAAAATAGTTCTGATAAGATTAACTCTAGTAGTGTGTCAACAGTGAATATAGTTGCCCCGTTACTTGATTAGCCTCAACACATCTCGAGTTAATTTCTCTGTCCAGTTTTCCATCCGATTCCAATTACTTAAATTCCTCTGTTTGTCTTAAGGCGTTGTTTTTTAATTGTATTTCTAAATTGTCTTTCTGTCTTCGTATCACCATTGTCTCTGTCTTCGTAGTGTTTCTTTTCATATTATATTTGTGTTATTAATTTAATTGAGATGGCTCTGTAGGCATTCCGTACTTTCTGCTATGAGTACCTGGTCGTCGGCGAATAGTCATTCTGTAATATTTTCTTCGTGATTAAATTTCCTTTTCTAATATATGGTATCCATTGATGTTATAAAAAGAAGTGGCTATAGAACACAGCCCTGACGTACACCAGAGCTCACTATAAAAGTTCTTGACAATTCTGCCTTTGATATTAAATATTATGCATAATTTATTACGAGTGTACAGACTTTTGCAAATAATAATGAGATAATTGCTGATTCCCTTTTCCCCATACATTCTCACAGCATATTCCTGTCGACTCTATCGAAGGTTTTTTCCTGGTCTACGAATGTCACAAAAACATGTCTTATTGTGTTCTATTGCTCTCTTTGATCGTTGTCTCAATGTATAAATGGCATCTGTGCAACTTCTGTTTCGTCGAAAGCCCATCTGTGCTTCTGAAAGTTGATACTCTTTGAATGGTCTTAGCCTTCTTTCGATGATAATAGCATACATTTTTCCAGTGTGACTGAGAAGTGATCATCATCATGTGCCCTGACAACTGTCGTAGGCGCTCATGCATCTCCACAGATCATGATCCCAGGTTGACTGGAACATCTGTCTTGATGATATCCTTCCATGCCATCGTTTTAGCCCATCCAGCATCGTCTCTCTTGGTTTGCCTCTACCCCTATTCCACTGATCTTTTTAGTTGTCACGATGTCCTCCAAAGTCTCTTTTTTCATTAAGTGGCCAAAAAACAGTGTTTGTCTTTTTCTTATTGTTGTATATAAAGATATACATTTATTAGGCTCTTTCAGGCAATCGTTGTTAGTGAAGAAGTTGTTAGAAGTGATATTCCTTTGTATTTAACATAGTCTCTCTTACTTCCTTTATTTTTCAATAGCGGGACTGTGACAGCAGTTTGCCAATCTGATGATATTTCTTGATTTTCCCATGCCACCTGAAATATTCTCTTTAACCATGTTGCTCCCGATTCTCCTGCTGCCTTGATGGCCTCAGCTGGTAGATCATCAATACCTGTCGTCTTTAGTCTAGGGGCGGCATGAATGACACATTCTTCATTCAATAATATACCAGGTTCTAGTTCCTCTGCCGTTAGTTCCGGGTTACAAGATTTAAAATCGGCGAATCAGCCCTGTGCACATGTGAACTGGCACCTGAGACAACAGATCATTTCTCCAAGACCATCCCAATTGCAACATATAAAGGCAAAACTTTTGGTCAAGAGAAACATCGGTGCAAGTTAAACTTTACGGGTCGCTGAGTGAATTACAAAAGACAGTGAAGTTCATATATTAGAGACAACATTGCAGGTATAGATAATTTATTTCAAGCCACGAAAGAAGAATAAAGAAAAAAAAAAAGAAGATTTTTATGTTGCCTAGTGTGTTCCTTTATCTTTATACTTTTTACTATGAGTGCCAATCAATACATTGTAACGAAGTTGCAGGATGGTACCCAAATCAGGGATGGCTCCAGTGTTGCCACTTTTCTTTGACAAAAAATATTTAAAACGGTGTCAAAAAATATCTAAAAATATCTAAATCTGCGTGGAAAAGATCTAGAAAAAACATCCAAATTGAAAAAGTCAAAAATTACATAGCTTTTGTTATGACTTACCCTACATAATCATGTCCTCACCTTCACTGATGTCTGCCTCACAAGATCCACAGGATAAACTTAGCTTGGATAATGAAGTTGAAGCTTCAGATCCAAAATGACCCTGGCATGCTTTAGCTGTTCAAATTTCTTTATAAGTGGAACAGTAGACTTATTTCTCTATTCTCATCAGGTCGAATTTTAATGGCACGATAGCATTTGATAGGTCAAATTTCATCCGGTTTTTTTAGGTTAGATTTGATATAATTCCTAGCACTGAAAACTCTTTCTACGTCAGCATTTGAGTGGGGTAGTATCATGGCAGACATGGCACTTTAAAGAGCTTACAGAATGGACTGTTTGATGAGGCATCTTTAAATTGTCTCACTTTACTCCAAAACGCTTTAGTTTCTGTTTTGTTTGTCCATTCAGCTAACTATTTTGGTTAACTGATATTCTGCTTCCGCGACAGTATTATCAGTAGCCCCTAAAAATGTCATAACTTTACAATATTTAGGTATATCCTTTATTGGCTGAAGTATGTTGCTCACATAAAAAAGTGAAATATTTTTCAAAACATCTATATTTTCAGGAAGTCTCTGCTTCAATTGTTTCAATAATGAGATAAGGAAATCTTGACAGCGTTTTCTTAAGTTGTTCTCTTCATTCTCTGTTAACAGTCCCTTTGTTTTTAAATCATCAATTTTTTGATTTGATTTAATGTCCAAGGTGTGGCTTAGGAGCTAAATAGCTCTCTATAGTGCACGTGAGCAAATCAGCTTTAGAAGTTGGCAACACCAGTCTTTTACCGAGTGAAATAGCAAGGTGAGATCATCAAGTAATTTAACTTTATCAACAAGTTTAGGTTCGAACAGTTTATTAACTTTTTGCACTTCCTTTAGAATAGGTTATAAAAAGAGAATGAATGACAAATTTTTTTCATCACTGTACATTCCATATAGTATTTCAACTGTGTAGCACTTTTCACTTTGTCTTGTTATTTCAAAGTATGTCTTCAACTTCAGCCATTGCTTCATAATTCTTTCAACAGCTGGTTAAATTGATAACCATCTAGTTTTGCAATCTGACAGAATTTTCGGTGGTGTGGAACCATCATTCAAGGCTGTATATAATGTATTGTATTGCTGTTGTCTGACAAATGATTTTGAAAACCAGTAAAGTGTTTCAGCAATAAGGTATTTCAAATTCCATGGTAAATATTTAGATGAAGCATGTGATAATGCTAGCTGCAGTGAATGACACATACATTTTTTAAGTATTAACGATGGGTTAGCTTCCTTCAACTTGGCATAAACGCCA